TACTGCTCGGCTTATATTCAGTTATAAGTATCTCTGGAAATCCGCATTTCTTGCTGATGTAGACCTGACCAAATGTAAACTGTGTCAGCAAAAAAATTCACATTACCGTTTGTCACTATGTGATGGAGTGCAAAAGGTACATGAATTTAAAGACAGCTTTAAAATGTTCAAGAAATCTCATTAAAAAGTATCTACTACCAGAAATTTTATCCAAATGTCCCCAGTTTGCAAACTGTAGGTAGTAAATGTGGGTCATTGTAATCTCTCCTCCACCGACCCCCTTTGTGGAAGGGGGTTATCTTGAGGTTATCTTGAGATGATTTCGGGGCTTTTTTTTGTTTTTTTTTTTGTGTCCCCGCGGCCCGGTCCTCGACCAGGCCTTAGGAAGCAGCCCGTGACAGCGGACTAACACCCAGGTACCTATTTTACTGCTAGGTAAGAGGGGCATAGGGTGAAAGAAACTCTGCCCATTGTTTCTCGCCGGCGCCTGGGATCGAACACAGGATCACAAGTCCAGCGTGCTGTCCGCTCGGCCGACCGGCTCCCTTCCGGGTGGATGCATAATAAGTGCATGATAAGTAAATCAAATAATAAAACTAGTTCACGGCACATGTAAGTTGCTGAACTTGGAGACTACTTGTGGTAGTTTTGACGTCTACGATCTGGGGCTTCTTGTGGTTAGTTATCTAAGATGGCTGAGAGGTCGCCCGTCACACGAGACCTGTCAGGACGAGCTGCTCGTGTTGGGGGTTAGGTACTCGATAACAGCCATCGGTTATCAGTCGAGTTTTCAAACCTTGGAAGCCGAAATTCAGACAACTCCAGTGAGTCATTGTCTTTCCTTCGTGATCAATGGCAGTTAATTACCTGTGATCAAAGATCACAGGTAATTATCAATAGATATTAGAGTAATTAATCCAAAGTATTCAACAGTAATTAGAAGCTAATTAAGCGGTGGTAGTGGCAACAATAATAACTTTAATGTTAAGTGGTGTATAATAATAAATCCCAAATCCCGGGATTAATAAGATATGAGAGTCAACAACGTTATATCTAGTTACAAACAGCTTTGGTTTTGTCTCATTACAAGCGGTGAGGGCGTGCCGTTCTCGCACTTGCTTACGGTCAATATTGGCTTATTTAATAAGTGCATATGTGACATACTAATTGATTGTGAATATTTTAGTTTACCTTGAAAAGCTTCATAGAAAACACCGACCTCACCTAACCTTCTTGGTATGTTAAGATAAGCATCTTATTGCTTCTTATTTACAATTATTACTTAACCTATTAACGGTATAGGTTAAGTAATAATTGTAATTAACAAGCAATAAGATGCTTATCTTAACATACTAAGAAGGTTAGGTGAGGTCGGTGTTTTCTATGAAGCTTTTCAAGGTATACTAATTGATTATGAATATTTTAGTTTGTCACATATGCACTTATTAAATAAGCAAATATTGACCGTAAGTAAGTGCGAGAACGGGTTGCTCCACCTCCATTACACTCCAAAACCCACTACTGATACAATGATTCACTAAAAACTGTGTAACTAGCATACTAAATGAACTAAACTAACTCTCATGCACCCTGCACACACCCAGTGAACTGCGGTGGAAAGGTAGAGCTGACGGGGATTAATATTTGTTGATCTATTTATCTCTGAAACGTGCAAAAGCGGTTTAAAAAAATTGAAGACCGGTGCGTACGTCCAAGGTGACCATAGTACTTCTGTACCATTGCCTGCGGGCTCTTGCCGCTTACAATAATTGCAAATTTGCCAAAATATCGATATAAGTGTCCGAAAAGTTTCATATATATATTTAAATGTCTAATGTTCTTATAATTCTGAGTGAGTTGAGGATTTCTATCCAGAGCCACTATACAGGGTCAGCCTCGGTCCTCCACGGTGGTGGTGGGATAATCAATACTGGGCAACTGTTGTCCCCGGCGACATGTCTTCACCCTCCTGGCCTCTCTCTCTCTCTCTCTCTCTCTCTCTCTCTCTCTCTCTCTCTCTCTCTCTCTCTCTCTCTCTCTCTCTCTCTCTCTCTCTCTCTCTCTCTCTCTCTCTCTCTCTCTCACAAAGTGAAAAAGTTACTTAAATTACTACGTAGTCATATAAGAAGGAAAATATCGGTGAACGACCAAGTGACAAGACTAAGGAAAACAGAAGGAGCATATACAGAAAGCGAAAAGGAAATCTGTGAAATACTGAATACCAGTTTCCATGGAGTGTTTACAACCGAGCCTGCGTAGCGCCATTGTTAGAAGAGATGACCCAAGACTAACAGATATAGAGGTGACAGCAGAGGAGGTACTGAAATAGCTGACAACACTGGATAACACTGAAGCAGTTGTACCAGACAATGTATCACCGTAGATACTAAAAGAGGCAGCGCAGGCCCTCAGCGTGCCTCTGGCAAGGATCTATAATGGGTCACTTACGAAGGGGAAAGTTGCTCAGTTGCTTGAAGAAGGCAAATGTACTACCAATTTTCAAGAAAGGGGATCGGGAAGAGGCACTTAACTACAGACCAGTATAATTGACAAGCATCCCCTGTAAAGTACTTGAAAGAATAATTAGGTTAAGACTGGGCACACACTTAGATAAAATTAGGTATGTAAACAAACACCAACATGGATTCAGAAAAGGAAAATCATGCCTAACTAATCTTCTGGAATTCTATGATTAAGTAACAAGAATAAGGCAGGACAGGGAAGGATGGGCAGACTGCCAAATAGCCTTTGACACAATACCGCACAGGAGACTGCTATTCAAACTTGAGAGACAGGCGGGAGTAAACGGAAAAGTCCTAGCTTGGGTAAGGAACTACTTAACAGGCAGGAGCCAGAGAGTAACAAGTCAGGGGCGAGAAGTCAGACTGGCGAACCGTAATGAGTGGAGTACCTCAAGGGTCGGTGATGGGACCAGTTCTGTTTCTAATATACGTGAACGACATGTCTACAGGCAACCCGTTCTCGCAAATTCGTAAAGTCAATATTGACTTATTAACTACGTGCATAAGTGATATACTAAACATAATAGATACCCTTAAAAAGATTCATAGAAAACACCGACCTTACCTAACCTACTTAGTTTGTTAAGATAAGCATCATATTGCTTCGTAATTACAATTATTACCTAACCTATAATAGGTATAGGTTAAGTAATAATTGTAATTACGAAGCAATAAGATGCTTATCTTAAGATACTAACAAGGTTAGGTAAGGTCGGTGTTTTCTATGAATCTTTTTAAGGGTATCTATTATGTTTAGTATATCACTTATGCACGTAGTTAATAAGTCAATATTGACTTATTAAATTTGCGAGAACGGGTTGCTACAGGAATCGAGTCCTATATGTCGATGTTCGCGGAAGACGCGAAATTAACGAGAAGAGTTGTGACAGATAAGGACTGTAGGATCCTCCAAGAAGACTTGAACAAGCTGCAGAGATGATCAGAGAAATGGCTACTGTAGTTTAACACGAGCAGATTGATGAATATTAAGCCACCCAAGAGGTGGCACGGGCATAAATAGCCCGTAAAACACGATCAAGTGTAAAGTTATGGAAATGGGACCAGGTGACAGAAGACTAAGGGGGACAGTACACAATGAAGGGAAACTACCGTCCTGTGACGATTCAAGAAAGGGACCTGATAGTGGACGTAACATCAAACCCAACTCCCGAGGCATATATAAATCAGATAACGACAGAAGCGTACTCTACGCGTGCAAATGTTAGAACCTCATTTAGAAACCTAAGTAAGGAGGCATTCAGAGCGGTGTACACTGCCTTCGTGAGACCAGTCTTAGGTTATGCAGCCTCACCATGGAGCCCCCACCTAAAGAAACATATTAGGAAACTGGAAAAGGTTAAGAAATTTGCGACGAGAATAGTCCCAGAGTTGCAAGGAATAAGATATGAAGAGGGATTGAAGGAATTAAACCTGACGTTATAAAAAAGGAGGGGAGCGGGGAGATATGATAGTAGCATACAAAATAGTTAGGGGGATTGACAGAGTGGAAATAGACGAAATGTTCACACGGAATACCAACAGAACAAGGGGGCATGGGTGGAAGCTGGAAACTCAGATGAGTCATAGAGATGTTAGAAAGTTTTCTTTTAGCGTGGCAGTAGTATATATATAATATAAGGCATGAAGTATAGCCTTCCATTTAGAAAGGCTGGGGGCGTTAAACATGCCAAGGCTACACAAGATACGGAGAAATATATAAAATAGTAACAGTACTTATTACACTCCATCTGCTTGTTACTCTCCCAGTACACATTGCACTCAGTGCAGAAGAACAGTCATGGAAAACTGTGGGAGGAAGGGAGCAGTGCAGAGAGAGAAGGGCAAAAGTGAATCAACATTTCAGTTCAACAAGTGAGTGTTCACCACAACGATGACTGCATCACTTCAAGCAACACAAATATCAACAAGAAATGTATGCTTCATGACAACGTGATTCTTGCCGTCTTCTTGGGCAAGAATATCAGCATAATAAATGAAATTACATAAAGTCCGCCACGGTTACTGGGATGACGGTGACGTCATAAAAGCTGGAACAACAAACAAGGTTTGGTGCCAGAGTTGTGAGTAGCCTACGTGACGTGCACCGCCCCTTGTAGCAGCAGGTCTCTTCATGCAGGTCGGTGTTCAATCCCAGACTTTGCAGGTGGTTGGGCACCATTCCTTTCCTCCCGTCCCATCCCAAATCCTTAACCTAATCCCTTCCAAGTGCTATACAGTCGTAATGGCTTTTTGCTTTACCCTGAAAATTCCCTCCCTCTTTTGTATTTAAATATAACTGTGTACTCACCTACTTGTGCTTGCGGGGGGTGGGGGGGGGGGGGGTTGAGCTTTGGCTCTTTGGTCCCGCCTCTCAAATGTCAATCAACAGGTGTACATATTCTGAAGCCTACTGGGCTCTGTCAAATTTACATTTGAAACTGTGTGGAGTCTGCATCCACCGCATCACTGCTTAATGCATTCCATTTTGTTAATTACTCTGATAAGAAATTCTTTCTAATGTATCTGGCTCATTTGGGTATTGAGCCACAGTGTACCGAGTGTATAACGGACGCTAAATACTCCATATGTATTTGAAGATTTGTATGAGGAGCGTGTGATGGCTTCTCAACCGTGTGCTTGCTATACTGTTTTATTTTTGTGTTGAAATCTTGCGCAACTATTTATTTCTTTATAAAATGATCTCAAGTGCAGTTTAATTCCAGGCATAAAAGTGCATGTATGTAAGCTCTGAACTATTTATGAAAATGGTAGAAGTTAGAGTGGTGAGGCCATACTGTGGGTGGCAGACCCTGGCGGAGTGATGCCACTGACCCCGCAGCGACAAGCAGGCTACCCACGACCCCAACCATCTGTCGGGTGGTGGTGCTACCTTTACGGACTTGCCACCAACCATGGGTCTGGTGAACTGTTTCACTTGGCTACTTTCATCCATAATATCCCGTAGCCTCTTAAGTCAGTTCTAGGCCGCTTTTAGCCTAGGCTAACGGCTGGTCTAGGATCAACAGAACAAAACGCTACTGCGCTACTGTTAACAGCTGAGCTCTTACATGCCGTCAACGGAGCAACAGGTCACGCCGCTATAAAAATACATCTTAAAACTTGTGTTGGAGAGCGACGGGTAGCCATCAACGAAACAAGGTTCCATACTGTGTCAGAGGAGACTTTGCCATGAACCAGGATGCGTTGGCGGAAGACTCAAGATTTGGATCTGACAGAAAATGGGGTAAGTTGCACCAACTTCTGACATAATATTCCTTAAAATTCCCATGTACGTAAGTTATAGTGATGTAGAGTACTTAGTGAATTGATTTCAGGTAAATATGTAGCTGTATGTTTTGGATACATTTTGTGTGATAAATGACGCAAGATTTATTTGGTAAGGGGTATTTGCACTCCAGTTGTGTGTATATATATGTAGTACCCATACTGTGTGTCTTTGGTAAAGTACTTGAAGTGGTGGGTTGTCACAGAGAAGGATGATGGTGTACTCTAGCCTATCCCTCCAGCTCTAGCCTAAGCTCTTTACGCTTGGCTAGCTAGCTTAAGTAAATTCCTTTGATTGTTGCAGTGCTATTTGAACAGCCAACTTATCATTGGCATTTTTGTTTTTATAGCATGGAGGATAATTTTGTAAAGCATTTATAGCATTTATATTTTGTAAAGAATGCAGTGTGCGTTTCCCAACTGTTTTCGTGGCGACGTTTGTGTGTACACATATATAGCTCAGGCCCTTAGAGTGCAGGAAGTATAGAGTTTCATAAACTTCCCGCACTGTAGATGTTTACGGTGTTGTAAGACGTTAGTGGCACAAGACCTGCGAGTGTGTGGAAAGGTCAGCCCACCAAGGATGTCTGGTGTTCTATAAGGTCACACACAACGTCACCTGTTCTTACCACTAAGGGCATTGAGACGAGTGAAAGGTGACGACTTCTTTACTTCATTGCCATCTTCACTACGACCATATCAATGAAGGCTGTTATCGTGGTTATCACTAGGGAAGGCTCCCCTTACGCTACTCCATCCCTTAGAGGCCATTACTACTATGGGTGACTCCTTACCTACTCCCTTTACCTCTCACATTTACAATTATTACTTAACCTATCAACGGTATAGGTTAAGTAATAATTGTAATTAAGAAGCAATAAGATGCTTATCTTAACATACTAAGAAGGTTAGGTGAGGTCGGTGTTTACTATGAAGCTTTTCAAGGTAAACTAAAATATTCACAATCAATTAGTATGTCACATATGCACTTATTAAATAAGCCAATATTGACTAAGCAAGTGCGAGAACGGGTTGCACCACTGTAAGTAACCCATCTTATCGTACTCCCATTACTCGTTTAAAGAGCCTAATTACACTGATGTGTGATATACACATTTTTAAGTACAAATTGTTTGCGAATAAGCAGGTAATTCTGTGGTTATCGGTTGGAGAGGACAGAGACGAGTACACTGTGCCCGGCTGCAGAAAAAGGTCCAGAGTTCATTGTTGTCTAGATCGCCATATTGTTACCTTAACTGTGGCATTTGTGCATTTTGCCTCAGTTCACTGTTTACCGTGTGGGTGTTCACTGTTTACCGTGTCCGTGTTCACTGTTTACCGTGTCCGTGTTCACTGTTTACCGTGTCCGTGTTCACTGTTTACCGTGTGGGTGTTCACTGTTTACCGTGTGGGTGTTCACTGTTTACCGTGTCCGTGTTCACTGTTTACCGTGTGGGTGTTCACTGTTTACCGTGTTCGTGTTCACTGTTTACCGTGTGCGTGTTCACTTCGGGGGTTGTAAATATCAGACTTAACATTTTCACTTTGCAATTATGGTAATTTTGATCCTGGTTAAATATTACATTAGTGTTTGTGCTAAACATTTCAATTCTACTTTACTGAACAGTTTATTGTCAGATAATCAATCGTTACTTAATAATTTTGCCCTAAACTGTGAACCCCGTTCTTAATTGCAACTCTGGTAAACCTTTATTACCAAAGGTGTTGTAGTTACGAGATAATACACGCTCACTGCTGGACTAATACATTGTCACACTCTTCAGCGTGACCTATTTCACGGGTGTAACACTAAGTAGATCATGGTACTGGACAACTGTGAGCTGCATGTGGACGACTACACGACCCTCGTCACTGTAGTCGTCCACACTACACACGACCCTCGTCACTGTAGTCGTCCACACTACACACGACCCTCGTCACTGTAGTCGTCCACACTACACACGACCCTCGTCACTGTAGTCGTCCACACTACACACGACCCTCGTCACTGTAGTCGTCCACACTACACACGACCCTCGTCACTGTAGTCGTCCACACTACACACGACCCTCGTCACTATAAACATCTTCACTTCCCGGCACCTACAAGCTTGGGGGTACCCAGCGTCGCCCTGGTGGCGGGTCTCATATTCACCGGATAAAGATCGCGCCATCTAAATGTTGGAGGTTCCCAGAATGAAAGCTCTGGCATCAGGACATGTGTTATGCATCACAATATCTGACTTTTGTAATGACGGTATTACTCTACGGACTCTGCGTCCACCACTCTCCACTGCCTTCATGGGGGTCGCCATGGGCCAATGGGGCCGGCCATGACAGTATCCTAACAACTTTAATGAGTCTGGCTTCCAACCTTGCTTAAAGATTCTATTTTTCAGATGTAGATATATAGCATAACAGAATATACTTGTCTGGCATATGGTGTTGATAGTTGATGCATGTATGGTATACTGGTGTAGTGCAACTGTGTTATCAGTGGGGTCCCTTGTCCTTACACGGCACACTTCCAGTAGGCATCATGGCACTCTTCATAATGATCATTATTTGTATTATTATTAGTGATTGTAGCAATATACTTAAACCTTTATAGATGCAGGTAATTATTACCATACAATTAAGCATCGTACCATACACCCTCCGTACTTTGGTTTTACGATGCACTCGGGATTAGACTATTTTGTTGTACAATTGGTAACGCGGACATGTAGGTGAGACTATGACCTTATGAATGGGTCACTCCAGAGTGGAGGAAGACCCAACAGAGGTATTGTGTGTGGGTCACTCCAGAGTGAAGGAAGACCCAACAGAGGTATTGTGTGTGGGTCACTCCAGAGTGAAGGAAGACCCAACAGAGGTATTGTGTGTGGGTCACTCCAGAGTGAAGGAAGACCCAACAGAGGTATTGTGTGTGGGTCACTCCAGAGTGAAGGAAGACCCAACAGAGGTGTACAACTTGGACCGTTAAGTACTGCTTGCAGCAACACAAGTATTGTCAGCAGGTATCTCAGAGTGAGGCGCCTTAGGGCGTCACACAACATGTTTCCGCTGCGTATATTCTGGTCATATTGGCAGCATTATGTTGTAAGCGAGTGAGCATGTTCGGGGGAGAGGAAGGCCTTGAGCGGTATCTGGACCAGTGGAGCCTAGGTGCACCACCACTTAATGTCCCAGGATACTGCCAGTCGCAGTTGCTGTCTCTCTCTCTGTACTCACCCATATGTGCCTGCACCATCCACCTCTAGCTCTTCCACCCCGCTCTCTAGTCGTTGGTTGTCTAATGCAATAACTCCTGGCCTATTTCTCTGCCATACCTGCTTCTATCATACCTGTACTCACCTATTTGCACTCACCTAGTTGTGCTTGCGGGCGTTGAGCTCTGGCTCTTTGGTCCCGCCTCTCAACTGTCAATCAACAGGTGTACAGGTTCCTGAGCCTATTGGGCTCTATCATATCTGCACTTGAAACTGTGTATGGAGTCTGCCTCCACCACATCACTGCCTAATGCATTCCATTTGTCAACCACTCTGACACTAAAAAAAAAAATTCTAATATTTCTGCGGCTCATTTGGGCACTCAATTTCCACCTGTGTCCCCTAGTGCGTGTGCCCCTTGTGTTCAATAGCTTGTCTTTATCTACCCTGTCATTCCTCTGAGAATCTTGTACGTGGTGATCATGTCCCCCCTAACTCTTCTGTCTTCCAGCGACGTGAGGTTTAATTCCCGTAGTCCTTCCTCGTAGGTCAAACCTCTCAGCCCGGGTACTAGTTTGGTGGCAAACCTTTGAACCTTTTCCAGTTTAGTCTTATGCTTGACTAGATATGGACTCCATGCTGGGGCTGCATACTCCAGGATTGGTCTGACATAGGTGGTATACTAAGTTCTGAAACATGTTGTTTCTATCATATTCCTGTCTGGGTCTTCTGTCATTTGGTGGCGGGTTATATATGACTACGACTATAATTTTTTGTCCCCCAGTTGCTATGGTGCCTGTTATGTAGTCACTGAAACCTTCACAGCCCTGAATAACCATTCCAAAATGCCAGCCTTTTCTTACCAGCAGAGCTACACCACCACCTCCTCCTCTTCCTTCCACAGGTCTTTCTCCCTCACTGTGTGTGACAGTGAGGGAGTGTGTATGACAGTGAGGGAGAGTGTGTGACAGTGAGGGAGTGTGTGTGACAGTGAGGGAGTGTGTGTGACAGTTGGGGAGTGTGTGTGACAGTGAGGGAGTGATGGGAGAGTGAGTGGATGGGGCAGGTTAGAGCCATTCTGACCTTGGTATCCCGGACTCCATGCAACTCTCACTTTCCTAGCCCAGCCACTCCATGTCTAACCTGGCCCTACCCGGCCACCCCATGTCTAACCTGGCCCTACCCGGCCACTCCATGTCTAACCTGGCCCTACCCGGCCACTCCATGTCTAACCTGGCCCTACCCGGCAGGCAATAGGGCTAATACCATTGCCTGATAATAAATTGCTCATTGTGTTCTATGACTAACTAAACTATCCATACTGTCGTCCACCTAGCCTTGCTCACTGAAAATATTTGCTAATTTTAATTCTTGCATCCTCGGAGCAGGTCCTCTCTCCTTATACCGTACCTGTGGAGCAGGTCCTCTCCTTATACCGTACCTGTGGAGCAGGTCCTCTACTTATACCGTACCTGTGGAGCAGGTCCTCTCCTTATACCGTACCTGTGGAGCAGGTCCTCTACTTATACCGTACCTGTGGAGCAGGTCCTCTCCTTATACCGTACCTGTGGAGCAGGTCCTCTACTTATACCGTACCTGTGGAGCAGGTCCTCTTCTTATACCGTGCCTGTGATTCTCCAACAAATAATATTTTCCTTCTATGTTGTGATGCTCGACTTTCCTGCCGTCTGCGCCCGTGCACAAATTCACCTGCAAAACATCAAAGCGGGGTTCGACGCCTTAACCAA